ACAATATGCGTTTTTGCTGGCTGTAGCAGCGCTGCCATAGCGCTGCACAGCAAAAACGCATAAAAATGAGGTATTTGAACTGGTCGCTAGTCAGTTCTCCTAGCCCAAATTTTTTGCATTCTTTATTTACAGTTCCTCCGTACTTTACGAAATTATCAATTCCTTGCTTAATTAATTCCATGTAACGATATTTTCGATTGAACTGTGAGATTTGCGGCCCAAATAAATTCGCAAGGGTGGTTATCATTTCAGAGAATGAGACAGCTAAGATTTTTTGCCAGTATATAGTTCACATATTTTTTTTGGCCTGTTGTGCTTAGCTTTCGCAGTAAAAGTCTGTCTCTAGCAGCATCGTCTAATTTTACTTCATCTACCGTAAACACATCTTCGAACCTTTTGTACCAAGCATCGAATGTAATGCCGTCCTCTGCAGCACATTCAAACTCGGTTGTGCTTTTCTCAATCACTGCTATATTTGGATTCTCGCCGGTTCCACTGTCCAAGTCTGGTGGCTGTGATATTGACTGCCTCAAAGGTTCGAAAATTCGGCATAACAAGCTTAAAATTCTTGCTGCTGCTCCAACAACCCTTTTATTATTTCAGCATCCAGTACCATCTCATAAAATCAAGCCTTGATCTGAAGTCTTCGTCGTTGTTTGTTGACCCACTCGCCAGTTGTTACATCATTGTTCCCGACGCTGAACTTTCTGAACCGGAAACGAAGAGGTGAAAGGGACTTTATTTGCTGAGGTGTAGGGACGAAGACTGTACTTTGGACGAGCGGCTATGAGACCGATGATGCGATTGATTTAGGACATCTTTATTGCACAAGCTAATAGAACAGCGTGTATTCATTGTTAGTCAGAATTACAGACTATCAACCCAAAGTTGAAGGCTTGCACATGTCTCCCTATAGGTATAACTCTACACATGTATTTGCACTACCTAACTTCTACATGGAACTTGAGGATTTCAAATTCAGCCCGAATTGTGCATGGTTCTCACGTACAGGTCGTCAAAATTTTTGACGGGGAATTATTCGGGAGCCAGAAAAAGCTGGAGCAGAAATTCAGAAAGTATTTCCCCGGTGCACACTGAACTTAGACGTTACAAATTCAGCTTCTAGGTATGCGTGGCTCTCACAAACGGGCCCGTGAATTTTTTGATGAGGAAATTGCTAACTTGGAAACCAAAAAAGCTAGAAAGCGAAAGTTCTAACGGAGTGTTTCCTGTCCAAATATCACGCAGTTACGCAACTGTTTTCTTGAAATTCAACGGCCAGTGCATAACAAATTCCAGCTGTAGGAATTCTACCCGTCTGATGCGTGTGACTAATGATTCTTTATGTAAAATTTACGATGATTTATACTAAAGAGCGCACAAAGTAAATGTAGCGCAACAACCAATCCTACAGTTAGCGACCTGAATGTTTCAAGTTTAATGCAAAAATGCATGAATGCATCAGTAAGACTGGTGCATTGCAGCCTAGAGTTAATAATCAGGACTAATCAGACAGTGGGTTTACATACACTTTTTGCTTGTGTAATTCTGGCTCATTAGTATAATGAACTCATATTGAAAAATGCTGGTAAATGTACGATAGAAAAAACCAAAACTTTAGATGATAATCGCCGACTGATAAAAACTTTAGATGATAATGTAGTCAGGAGCGACTCAAATCAGGGATGCTGTTGCGATTTAACACATTTTTGCATGTTTCATGCAGCAACAATATCGTAAACAGTACGAATAATCGTTGCTTTACAGTTTGTTATGCATACAAGCTGGAAATGCCCTCGTTAGCCTTTTCCCATATAGAGGAGCGAGAGGGACTGTACTGCTGCATTTATCGAAGCCACGTGAAATCTCAGATTCCGGAATTATGATTTCCCCGTAGTGAGGATGCCGACAGTTTTGCACCCATAAATCTAATGTATGCGTGTATGAGGCGTAGGCGTTTGTAAAAGCTGATTTTATGCTTTCAATATTGCACAAGGGGCCCAGATTCCTTGTTAAATTTCCGCTTTTTTACCTAAGTATCAGAGACTATTATCAAAGTTCATCGCAAAACGAACAAACGCTACAAGCACATTCCCGAAAGATCACGTATGTATGTATGTGTGTGCGTGTTTGGGTCATATACCGGTTTCCAGCTCTAAAAAAGCTGTGAAGCTGAAATTTTGGCAATCAAATTCGCACTAAAGGTGAGTCTTCAAATGCAAAATGAATATTCAAGTCCTCATACTGCTCACGTACAGGGAAAACAGTTTTTCAAGGAAGACAGTTTTAGGAACCAAACAGACTAGAAAGCTGGAATTTCGCGGGTGATTTCCCTAACTCTGTTCAATTCAAAAATTTCAGATCTAGTTTTCACTTGCTCTTACGTCGTGCATACGGACAAGTCAGTGGTGTATTAGGCGGGAAGCAATTTCTAAACTAGTGAGGCTAGAAAGCTGAAATTTTGTGAGGATATTCTTTGTTATTCTACGGGCCTAAGAATTTGAATTCAGTTTCGGAATGCTCTAAGTCACGTGCGTGCAAGTGAAAGTGCAGGTTGGGATGTTGGCAGCTGACCTTTGAAAAGAAAATTGCAAGAGGATTGTTGAATGGGAGAGAGAGGACAATGAATGAGCGGTAGCTGGTCTTGTCTGCCAAGCTTTATCAGCACACATAGTATTTGCAGGTCGACGTCCCTCCGGGTGCTGATGTTCGGGAACGGTATGAGGTGGTAGATGCAGGTACGATTTGCAGTAATGACCAGTACCAATGTAAGAACGGGCAATGCATAGAACAAAGTGCCTGGTGTGATAGGAGAATAGACTGCGCGGATGGTTCCGATGAGACGCAGTGCTATCCAGTCAAGGAGCAACAAGAAGAACCGATTCCGACAGCCCCAGTAACTTGTAAGTCACATAATTTTTTATTTTACACTGCTTTGGACCAGGCTCTCTGGATTACGAAAACTGGACTGTTCGAGTTGCCAAGACAGCTTTTCATTCATGAAGAGTTGTACTGCTGCTGCTTTTGCGTGTTTTGTTGGCGCCCCACCATCGTATCACATTCATATTTTGTTATGTGTATAACAAGAGAGAACAAGCCGGCGCGTTTGAGAAAGCTGGTGGTTGGGAGTAAGCAGCAGGCAAAACGATCGCATTCCGGTCATAGTCTCCACAAAAGAAGTCATTGCCAGTCTGTAGCAAAGGAAGCTTTTTTTGATATTCGATGCAAAGTAGCTTTTTTGATGATTGCGCTTACCGACCGCTGTCCAAATGGCAGTACCGTTCACAATATCGCAAGAACCATCATTATTGCCGCCAAGCGGAACATTGCAATTCATTACATTTTCGAATCTATCGTTTGCCTTGGTTTTTTTTTCTTTTTATGCCAAGTTGTTTCGTTTGACGCGACTAATGCCGACATTACAACATTTCCACTATTTTCCAATTTGCATGAATTATCCACAGCGGCAACCTGTTTAATCAAGCTTGAGAAGCGTCGTATCTGCCACTAATAAGCTCATGCTGCGATCTTCAGAAATTTGATCTGCAGTCTTCTGCCGAGCAAAGAAAGCAACAGATGTCGTTCATTGAGAGATAACATCTGTCGTGGGATCCTTGACGAGTTCCACTCAGTTTGACTTCATCACTTCTTAGTGATGTAATTCTCAGTTGATGCGATAGCCGCGTGCACTGAACGCGGTTGACGTATCAAATGGCACCATTGGCGTGTTGGCTGATATGTGACTTGGGCACACTTGACATCTCACTTGCTGGAAAATAAGATTGTGAGAATAAAAACGTTAAGTGTAAGAACAAGGACAATCACCGTAGTAAATTTGATCGAGCAATGTCATTGTGCGTTGCATTCAAAAAAAAAAATGTTCTCGACGAAAATGAAGTAATCTTTCAGAACAGTGAAAAACACCCCCTGCCGCTTTCATTGCAGTAAATCAACAAAAGGATGCTATGCCGTGAGGTGACCTTGCTCATTTGTAGGCACGATGTAAACGTTGCAAATCTTACTTCAACAACGCATCGATGTTCCTATCGAACATTCGTATTTAGGCTGAGCTTTTAAAGTTAATGCCATAAAGTTCTACCATCGTTCTAAAACCGTGCTGCATTTAGTCTGATCTAGACCATCGGTCGACCGAGATTCCACACAGTCTTTGCGCTCCAACATGAGGCCAGAATTGGCGGCAAAGTGCTAAAATGTACTGAAATTCGGAAGGGCTTCGGGGGCGACAAAACTGAGTATTAGGTTGACTTAAAGCTGAAAGTACTAGTAAGCAATGTTTACTTAAAGGTGCTAAATCTTCTGGTGGATAGCAGACTACAGGTAGTCTTTTAGACTCAAATTACTGCACTGCTAGTAACACCCAAACCGACCTTTCGCGGAACGTCGGGGCGGTTGCGCGGCAATCTTTCCCGTTGTCAGAACCAGCCCTTGATTATTTCTGGTTCTATAACAAAAAGGCTGGCGAAACAAGCTCTTCTGGCTCAGCTAGCCAGTTCAAAGCTGAGGAACGGAAGGAAAACTGGGAGCGCGAAAAGGGGCAGGAGGAGGAGAAAGGGCGCTCCGGTGACTTGTTTCCGCTTTTTGAAGTGCGGTTTGGCTATTAAGAAAGCGTTAATTATTTTGTTGTAGTCGATTGCGTTGGCGACGGTGGTGGGTCGGGATGCGAGTCCCCTCTCCGCTAAATGCCGCCGGGCAACCCTCGCCCTGATAAATTTTCGGGGTCTTAGTGCGCCGCGGCGTTCATGCTCTGATGCCATGCCGACTGCACATTCCGAGCCCTCCCGACCCGTCACCCATTACACATACATACACACCTCCGGCAAGGTGCATTTCGGTGTGCAACTACGCGTGTGTATATCGCCGTTTGTCGCTCCCAGACTTCTTCAAATTTGCAATTTGCCGGATTACTCTCCTTAAATATGGTCCGTTCGCGGTCGCAACTCCTCATTAGCGACCTTTGATATCGCGCTTCCCCTGTGCAAATGTGTGGATGAATGTTGCTGTCTAATACGCTAATTACGAAAACAATTATAAAACACCGGCGTACACCACTCTACTGTGCTTCACTGACGCAGGCTAACTTCAGTAAAACAAAGCAACATAACAGAATTTTGCTCTATGAACCACTTGAGTGTTGAGTGCTCAACTAATTTTCTTTTTATCCAAAATTTCTGGGGGAGAATGGTCGGAATTGCTAACTTATGGGTACTACGCTTCTTTCTTTTAAAACCGTAACAGTTTTTTCTATTTCGTTCCCTAGTAATTTCTTCTACTCCGATAGTACCAGCTGGAAAGAAACCTCTCCTTCTCGCTTGTGGTGCTGAGTAGAATGTTTATGACTCAATGGATCAAAACATTTTTGTTCATCCAGCTTTTTAATAATATTTTATATTTTCATCTATAACATGACTAATATTTCTGCTATCTTTCATCCATTTTCAGCTGTATTTTCTTTAACCTTTCCTTCATTAGTGTAATGATTACCTCTTTCCATTACTATAATGCTTCCTTCACTGATTATCTACACTTGGTTTTGTAAACACAGCAAGATGTAATTTCCACGCCAGTTGCACAAATTCTACTGAACGCATGTGTTGCTGACAAAATTCTTTCATTGTAGTTGTCATGATTGGGTTGAATTATTAGCGATCCAAAGTGAAATTGTTTGCGCACTCAATTAAGTGCTAACAGTTAGGGTATTATTCTCAAAAATGCAGAAATTTTGGTCGTTTTTCATGAGACATTGCAGTTTAAACTCTGATTCGTTGTGCTGCACAGTGTCTGAAGAAATTTCTCAAAAAATGCTGTGTTAAAGAAAACAAGAACAGGTGGTGGAGAGCGAGCACGAAGCAGCATACGAAAACTGCTTCTCCTGCTGTGGCTGCTCTTACTGCTGCTACTACCTTGCAGAACCTCGCGCACGTAAACCTGATCGTAATTCGGTTCAATTTATATATGCTTAGTGCAGAAATGGAGCGAGTTGCATGTCTTCCACTTATGGTATTTCAAATAGAATAATTCAATATATCCTTTCAATTTCAGAACTTCCTGCTTGCGAATACTTTTGCAAAAAGTTTGGTTGCTAGTTTCACGAGAGAAAACTGTTCTTTGAGTTATTTTTGCAAAAGAAGTTATCAGACTAGCTGCAGCGGATTTTGTTAAACTATCCTCGCACTGCTTGGCAGTGGGCACTTCAACATTAGCGAGAATCCATCTAAAACTGCCTTTCGTCGATGTAGCTGACATCTAGCAAATTTGGCTAAATTTAGCGCTTTCCTCATCAGTTCTCTTTAGTTCAGCGCAACATAGACACTGGTTCAGGAGAAGTTCACTTTCTACCAGCTTTTCGCTCGTTACCATGAGAAACATGGAAACTGCTTTCTCTGTCTGCTGGATACGCTGTTACATTTTGACCGTTCCAGTAGAATTTAAATAGTAAAACGTAAACTGGGCAATTTAAACGAGAAAAGTTCGAATGCTGTACAACTCTCAGCGGCTTTTTTCAATTTTTAGTTCGTTGTTGAAGAATTCGTAAATGTGTTATGTAATGGGAGGGTGTCGGTAGTACGTGCGTATGTACGTATGTATGTCTGTGTGTGAGGGAGAAAGAAGAAATGATATCTTTTGGTGTCTAGCTTAAATCGTTTAGTCTAAATCTTGCAAGAGGTGCTAAAAGCTCAGTGCTATGAACTAGGTAGGCGGTGTTATTTACAGCCCCATCGATAAATCACCTCGAAGGAATCGTCGTTTTTTTTTGTGGTTCCATTGATTCAGCACTGCTAAAACATTAAACTTTTTCGGCATTGTTAGAAACTCGTTTATATGCCGAACCACTAAATGACCCCTCACATATGAACTGATCCAATGTTAATGTTATCAGTGCGAACTTATGAGGAAGCACAGGATGGGGCGAAATGGTCACATTTTGTTTCGATATACGCAGCGTCGGATTGTTCAGACAGAAGAGATTTAAATGCTATAAATTGGAATAGTTGGAAATCGCAAAATTTTGCGAAGTCTGTATCAGCTGAAATTCTCCAAAGCACGCATTACAATAACAACAATGAGTCTGAAAGTACCAACTTTTGTTCAAGTGCCTAACGATGATGGTGGTGCTAAACAGGCAACTGCATGCATATACTTTATGCAATAAATTGCTGCAGGTTGACGAATTAACCAGACCAGGCAGGTCCACGGTATGATTTGTTTTTAAATAGTCTAGTGAATAACACAAAAATCTCGAATGACTGTTTGTTCCGCTCTGGAATATCTAGATGCGTAAATGTGTTCGTTGAGGGAAAGACGAAAAAGAAGCAAGGGGGAGAGAAATCGAAAAAATGATTTCTTTTCATCCTTGCCTCCTTTGTCAGATGAAATTTTCAGCGTTTTGGTGGCTTTGCTTTTGTTGCAGGTAATGTTCCTGAGTTTCCAGACTTTTTGCTTCAGTAAGGGAGAAGATTTTTAGTTCAATTTTAATGAGTTGCTTGTTTTTTGCTTTAGCGTTCAGGAGTATAATAAATCTTTGCTGGCTGCTGAATGCCAGTCCAACTCTGCTTAACAAGCGATTTAGTTCAGTGAACGATTAGTTCGCTGCACACTTAGCTTCAGCCTTCTTCACCGAACTTTCTTTTCCATTTTTTTTTCTAGTTTTCAAGAATTTTGAAACTTCATTTATTTTTGCAAGCACGTAATCACTTAAATACGATGCGTAATCCGACAAAAGACTTGCGGCTAAAAATAAGATGGCTATTTATAATAGGAGAATTAGAATATATTCATAGTATTGTTCAAACAATGACGTCTGCTAAATGAAAAAAGAATTGGATGATCTGAATTCTGAATGGTATCACATCTGAATGCGAAAAGTTTAGAAAAAAAAATCTTTAGAGATTCGGCTCTCTATATTTGAGAGCAATTCGTTTACAAGTATTTGCATTGCAGAACGAACTAAGAGTAACGGAACAAAATGTAAATGAGAAGCTTGGCAAAAAAGTCTAGGAGGTGTGGGAAATTTCATTCTTCATGCGCTTAGCGTCCTGATGGTTCTCAGACTTTTCGCTCCTTGTGAAGAGTGCTGTACTCGACCATTTTGTGTTTGTGAAAGGCGATTAGGTGTTTCGAACTTCGAAAAAACATGAAGTAGTATTTAGAAAAGTACATATTTCCAAAATGCTTTTGCGGTTTCTCATGCTGCTGCTGCTGAATCACAAAACAAATTACGCATTCTTCTGATTTACAGTAAAAATTTTTTGGTACGAAAACCTGTTTTGGTTTCCTCTTCTTTTTCAAGATGACTAAGAAATAGCTTGCCAAGTCACTTCTAAAGTTGCATCTGGCATATTGATCCGAAACGTGGACTTCTCGGTGGGATATTGAGGAGGTGAGGGTAGAAGGGGAATGGGTGTTGTTGAGAAGCACAGATAAGCTACTGCGAGCGCATGAATCAGAACCTGCAACATTTTATCCTGTGTAAAAGCGAAAGACTTCGGAAATTACCAAGTGATAGCTAATTGCCGGTGTCCATCCAAAACAATTAACTTTTCTTTCTTCTGAAATTTGCATTGAAAGCAAAAGGAACTTGATTCCGACATACTCCTGTATCACTTCACTGTTGACAAAGTGTAGGAGGAAAGGAGGACTATTTTGTTACTGACGGATTTTAAACACAAACTGGGAGTAATACAGCTATAAATCAGAAGAATGCGTAATTTGTTTTGTGATTCAGAAGCAGCAGCATGAGAAATTGCAAAAGCATTTTGGAAATATGTGCTTTTCTAAATATTACTTCATGTTTTTTTCGAAGTTCGAAACACCTAATCGCCTCTCAGAAAGACAAATGAGCAAGCAACAGTACAACACTCTCCACAAGGAGCGGAAAGTTTGAGAACCATCAGGACGCTAAGCGCACGAAGAAGAATGAAATTTCCAACAGCTTCTCGGCTTTTTTGCCAAGCTTCTCATTTACATTTTGTTCTGTTACTCTTAGTTCGTATACAGTAGTTATAACGCCGCCCTAATTTTCGTGTATTTTATTTGAATTTATCAGTTGGCAGGAGAGAAACGTGAGGAAATGAGATCTGATAGTCACTTTATTCGAATTTCATTTGTTTTCAAACAGCCAATTTTTCCATGCGTTTTTTTGTGCAGCTGTATTGCCCTTCAGCGGTTTAGCAAAATACATATTGTCAAAAGTCTAGCGGTATTTGTATTTGTGAATTTTGTCGCCAGCTTTTAATCTTGCAACCACAGAAGTTAGGAAGCTGAAATTTTGCGAGGGTTATTGCAATCTGAAATAAGCGCTTACATGCGCCCAAAGGAAACAAACAAGACAAATTTTTTTTGGTGGGAAAAGATTTCGGGAATTGAACAAGGTGGAAAATTGAAAGAAGCTGCAACACTTGTCATCTTTTTCTTTTAATAATTAGAAAACCCAAAAAACAGGAATTTTACCAGCATTCTATCGTAGTTCGCTAAAAACGCAAAGTCAGCTATAGTAAATGCTTAGGTGTCGCATGCTGATACAAAGAATTTCAGAGTACATCTTACGGACACAGCATTCATGCAAAATTCACAGTGGCCGTACACTGTGGAGGTTTCCAATAAT